GAAGCTGAACATGAGCCGGCAGTGTGCTTTTCCAGACCAGAAAGCCAATCGTGTCCTAGGCTGCATCAAAAGAAGCATTAGCAGCAGGCCAAAGGAAGTGATTCTCCCCCTCTACTCTGCTCTCGTGAGATCCCACCTGGAGTGCTGTGTTCAGATGTGGGCCCCCCACCATAAAGAAGACATGGACTTGTTGGAGCAAGCCCAGAGGAGAGACATGAAGATGGTCAGAAGGCTGGAGCACCTCCCCTATGAGGACAGGCTGAGAGAGTTGGGGTTGTTCAGCCTGCCCATGGCATGGGGGTTGGAACTCAATGATCTTTAAGGTCCTTTCCAACCCAAACCATTCTATGATTCTATGATTTTCACTTATTGGCTGAAAAACAAAAACAGTAGTAGCTTCCTCTAATGCTTAAATTTGGATTAATTTCATTAGGTAAATAGTACCAATTAATTTACATGCTACTAGATAAGATAGTAAACAGCAGAAAAGTATTTGTTATCATTTGGTTGATAGCTGGATCTTATCTATTAATACATTTTCATGTCACAAACTACTTACTAACCATGATCTCTTCACACATAAAGCCCAGAAAAATATAATTATTCAATAGAATAAATCTTAATTTGACCTAAATGATATCAGCTGAATAAAGAAATCCTGTGGTTTTTTTTCTGATTTCTCTTTTTCATTCATAGTGAAGAAGGAGAATTTGTTCACATACTAAAAGCAATACCAAATTATGTGATCTGACACCATAACTCTCTTGTGTATAAGTCTAGGTTATTTCAACCGCAAACAAAAATCTTCTATGCAGGATGTGCAATTGGCATTTGATTAGAAGTAAGTCAGTCCTCTCTAGTTTTTGGATACAATATACTAGATAAACACAAAATATATCTAGATAAATAGAAACAGAAGAAGAAAGAGAGAAAAAGAAAGCATTGTGCAGAAAAGGGAGCAGTATATTCATGTGCAGAGGGGAAAAAAAACCCAAAGAAAGACAAATAGTCTCTGTGTGCTTAAAAAACCCTATGACTACGCACATACAAAAAAGAAAAAGAGCGAATAAGAGAGAAAATTAAGGCTGGGGAATAGGAAAACTAGAAGTTAAGAAGATGCAGATAAAAAAAAAAAAAAAAAAAAGTGTTTCTGGCAACCAGAAGACACTGCTAATTTAAACATGCCTCCCAGTATTTTAAAGTCCACAGTTTGAATCTGTATTAAAACAAGTTCAAAGTATTCTGCCAGAAAAAAAGTTAAGTTAAAGCCCTGTAGTATTTTCTGGTAACTCATTAAATATTGTGTCACCTCTTTATGTCCTGACACTTAAATCATTTTGATTCTTTAAAAAAAATCAGTCTTTAAACTTTCAGTGTTGTTTCTTTTAACTGATTCACAATTTTCCTGACATCAAGACACCTCTAATTGATTAGTTCCTTCTATTAACTTCATCAGCCCCCTTCCCAACAAGTGTTCTGGGGAAAATACTCAGAACCCGCTTAATGTGTGCTGTAAGTCAAACAGCCTAAATCATTCTGAGACACTGAAGTTGAACTGATTTTTATTTCTAAGCAGAAGCTGAAAGCCCTATACCTATTTTTAAAAATTAAAACCATGCGGTCACTTCAATTGGCTCTAAGGTAATAAAATTAAATAGTGAGTATTTAGCCTTTATATCTGAGCAAATTTTACACTCTGAATCTGATGATGGGAAATGAGCACACATTCTTCAATTTCTGCCAAAATTTACAAGTTACCTTGGACCTCAGTTTGTCTAATTTCAAATGCCAATGTAACACTCACTGCAAAGCTTTAGGTGACAGCATAAAACTCATAAAAACAGAATATACTAGCTAAAACTTTTGAAAATGTACCAAAGACCAGACAAATATTGTTAAACACCTCTCTCTTTGGAAGATCTGAGACAACTGAGACAACTTTGTGCTACCAAACACAAGGAGTTACAGAACAAACTATCCTCTCTCCCTTAATGCATACTGTTCGCTAATTTAAGCCCACTTAAATGCTTGTTAAAGCTAGAAAAGAAAGATTTCTCTCAAATCCAGAAGCCTATTTATTTCAAATTGAATGATCTTAGTAACAGGTTAAAAGGAATAGAAAAACTGGAAGAATCTGAGCTTTTTATATGGACCCCAAATTTAATTCAAAGTTTTCTCAAAAATACAAAGTACAAAAGATTTTTCTCAGTCCAGTCACTAATATCCTTACTGTAGTCCAGGTGCTTGAACAAAGACTACAATTATGTATAATGCTATTCAAGTGATTCTGTAACTCCTAATCTGACAAAACTCATTCTTGTACACAACTGTAGCAGATCTGTCTGGGCAAATTGTTCAGGTTTCTTCACTTACTCCACTGATATAAATTCAATTCTTTAAGCAAAAAAACATCAAATAAATTGCCTTTAATTTTCCATGAGATATTTTGCATGTGTTTCCTTTGGTATCCTGCAAATCCTCAAAAAAGCGATGTTCAGTTGCTTTTGACAGCAGTGGGAATCATATTCATTGCTCCTCAGCAAGGTGCACAAACTTTCCGCCCACAATCAGGATATAAGATCTTTTCAAACAGAATAAAAAGCTTACCTTGAAGAAAGTCATGGTTGCTCCATCTTCAACTGCTCCATACTCTATCTTTGTCTGCTTTGCCAAATCATCAGCTGAATCAATAGGGGATTCCATACGTTCCACTGTCAGAAAGGCGGCTAAATTAGCAGTGTACGAGGAAATGATGATAAGTGTGAAAAACCACCAAATGCCTCCCACTATCCGGGTGGAGAGGGCTTTGGGCATGAGTTCAGAACCTAATGAAAACCAGGGGAGAAAGGTGAAACCAATGCACAAAAAACAATTAGCAAGTGTTCACCACTTTTTGCCACAGTGGAGAGATGGAATCACTGTGCAAAAAAATCTTTAAGCTACAGGCTTACATATACTGCTTGTACAAACACACACAACTGGAGTGAAAAATAAGAACTGATTACACTTATAAAGACAGATCTTTTTGGAGCTGTGGGAGTCAAAAGATAGTAATGGGAGACTCTATGATCAGTGCCTTTTTAAAATTTATAAATATATATATATATACACATAGCAATGTGAAAAAAGCTGTCACTTGAACTGTCTTTCAAGAAAAAATCCTAGCTGGACTGAATCTCTAATACTAATATTGAAGAACTTATACAGTTCTTTATCTCCAAGGCACTAAATAAATATTACTTAAGTATTTTGTAAAAATTTGATTGAGTAAATAAAAATAAGCTTTTGATGAAAGAAGCAGATAAAAATAAAGTATTTCATATTTGAAATTCAAAATCTGACAGCTATTATAAATAGGCTTTTGATTTTTGCAATTTGTGTTGTTGTAAAAGATTGTTTATTGACAACTTAGATAAAGAAATTAACATCTCCCATCTCTATAGTTAGCCCCACAATTTCAGATAACCATGGGTGGCTATGCCACACAATTTAATAGAACAGCAATGAAAATATTAGACTGCTGTGCATAAACTAGATAAAGATAGATTATAATGCATTGCTGGAGTTGCCTGCTCATGGCACTAAAGAATGGAGGGGGTAACAGACACTGTATAGTAGTTTGCATAATTGTTAATGTTAATTTAGAGTCTAATGAAACAAATTGAAGCACAGAATCTCCTTTTGTGCCTGGTTACTAAAAATAGGAAAAGATAAAATTCAGTGTAATTTACAAACACAAATATTTGTTATAAATGAGAATATATGGATTTTTTCCATAACATTATAACTGAATGGAATGAAATTTCTAATGATGTCATATAAACAATTACAAGGTTCATTGTAAGAACTTTACATAAAATCTTTTAGAAGTATCCAGAAACCTGTCTCCAAATAAAGTGTTTTACCAGATCCATCATACCATTGTACCAAAACAATCACTTTTTGTTAATTGGTTACTATCCTTGTTTTTAAATCTCCTGGGTAAAATGGAATGAAGGCAAGATGGACTATTTTATTACTGTTAAATTTTAGTGTTCATATTGAATTATTTAAGGAACTGGTCCAGCAAGGTAACACATCTTCATAAAAATGAAAGGTTATGCCAAACTTCCAACGTCAATGTCAAAGAAAGAACAGAAAGGGGAGCAGGAGGCAGGGAGGGAGAAAGAAAACCAAGGAAAGGAAAAAAGAAGTGGTATCATAACTGGACTATCATATTCAAAAACAGCCCATCTTACCCTGCAGTTCATCTTACCCTTGCTGTTTCAAACAAAAAAAGCTGACAGACTTGGACATGACAGCCAACTCCAGCGCCAGACTCTGCCTAGAATTCTGCAAGGAAAAAAGTAGAAAAGTACCTTTCTGATGTAGCTGCTCCTAGGCCCTGTTAGCCAGACACTCAGACACCATAACACTAACAGATTTCCCAATAAGCCCACCATCATCAGCTCTTTTTAATTGCTCTCATTTCTTTTAAAAAGTAACACCAGTAAAGTCAGATAAGGACTGGGAAGAAAAGAAGAGTGGAAACATTTGCCGCAGTTGCCCCAATTACCACAAGTTCATACTTTACCAAGGACTGAAACCGAGCGTCACCTAGGCCCGTGAAACAGAGCCTGGTTAGGGGCTGACTGTCATGTACCCAAGGTAACGTCATGTCCAGCACTATATCCCACAGTTTCCTAGGAGCAAGGGGTGTCAGCAAGACATGTATGAGTTCCCTCTGTCATGTATCCTCCAGCACAGAGCAAATGTTTTGTGAAGAAGCAGCACTTAATCTGAGTACGGCCCAAGCTATATAATATTCTTTCTAATGGAAAGTAGCTGCTGTTAGGTGAGAACCTCTGTGCTTGCATAAAAGCCTATTTTTGGATGACTTTAGGCTCTTGAGAAATCTTTTTTTTTAGAGCAATTATCAAAAATCAAGACTGACACTTCATCCTTAGAATGGTGCTTCTGAAAGTTCATTAAAAGATGCATTGAGTCAAAGGCAAAACTATCTAAGGCAAGGACAGAGGGTCAGCCTTAATTCTGAAAAATTAGTTTTCCTTCACGGAAAACTACTGTCCTCCAAAAATGTCTTTTAAAATTAATGTTTTTCCTATTTTGATTGTCAAGAAATGTTTAGATGCTAGGGATTAAAATTCCTTATTCTTGCAAAAAAATGATGCAAAAATCTAAATAATTTTCTTTCCTTCCTTCAGAAATACTAAGAGGTACACAGCCGCAAAGGGAGTAATACTCAGCATTCATAGTGACTCTGACAATCCTGAGCACCGTGAGCAGAATTCAGAATAACTTGTTTTATTCAGTATCCTGTTTTGGTAGCTCCTTTGAAAGCAACCATTATCTTATAAACATGTACTTAGGAATTTTGCTTGGACTATATAATTTATTGAAATGTATATTGATAATATACACTTCTAAAAATATAGCTGTATCTTTATTTCTGATTTGGAATCTTGATGCCTTTTTACCCATTAATTTATATTTTTCTGAGCATAGTATACTTTTCATTGAGAGCTTAGAGACTTTTAAGTCTACAGACCTGATACATGACAGGACATTTATTACAGATACAGCAGAGCTTCGTGAACTTATTTGATAACTTAAAAAAAGGATTTATTTATAGTTGGTGTACTTATAATGAGAAGTTGTAAAAACTTTTGGTCAGATGTATCCGTCAAACAACTATACTACCATGCAGTAGCTCCTTACAACATTTTCTATGAATTTTTGGTGATATGCATTGGTTATTTTTCCAGAAATGTCATTCCTTTTGGTGGTTTGTCAATAGAACTAACAGTCTTTCTTATTATGCTGTACTGCCCAGTGAAATTTCAGAACAAAAACCTGAATCTGTGTTATTCTGTGTCTGAAATGTGTCTGAAATTGTGTGACTCTGTTCAAATCTTTATGGGAAAGGGTAATAAAATGGTGATTATTTTTTATGGATCTGTATTTTTGGTATACTTCAAAAATAAAAGGAATATAGTAAAGAAAATTATGGATTTTAAACAATGTATCTCAGCTTAAGCATTTTACTAAGACAGTGCTAGTTAAAATTTGGTGTTGGTTATACTCTGAGCAACATGACTATACATCTAACATTTTTATTGTCAACAATGACATCAGTTTTTCAGTGTATGCATTGTGTATTATAGACTGCTTATTTAAATATCTAAGAACGGTCATTCTGATTTTTAAAAATATAAAATGTGGCTGGAAAGAGTTAAATCTCCTATATTTACCATTTTATTTTACGGGCACTAACTACTAGAGAAAATATGTCTGTTATTGAAAGATTTTTAGATCAAAATTAAAAAAATGAGAGCCATCTACATTACACTCTTGCCTGACAAAGATGTACTCTTTTTTTTGGGTTGTTTTAACAAAGACTTGTCAGGTAATGGACAGATTACCTCTTTTACATATTCAGTAATGTACCTGTTTCTCTTTCAGAAATAAATTACCTAGTTATGCTGTGCTTCTAAGTTTTAAAAAATTTATCTGTCTTCAGGCTTATTCCTAAGGTGGAGTTTCGGAATGCCTGAATACACAAACATAAAAAAGCCTGTTTTATGGTTACATACACAGAGGCACCCATGCAAGTGGCTTGCATCAGAGAGCTGTTAACCCCAGCAAAATGTGGGACATGGTGCCCAAGAGAAAGAGCAGACTGAATCGTATACCTTGCTGCATGAGAGCTCCAACTCCAAACCAGAAACTATTTAGCAAGGTAAAATTGTTTTCCACCACATCTGAGTCAGGGTTGCAAGGGTGTGGGTTATACCACTCATAGGGACTAAACCTGTGGTAATTGACAGAAAAAAGAACAGATTTAAAATGCAGCCAGCAGAAAGTCTATCCAGTAAATCTGCTGCAAAAGAAAAAGAAAAACAAGAAAGGTTATAAAGAAAATAGTGACTGGAATTTTTTACAGTATGACTGCATTATAATTAACAGCAATATTAAAAGATAAAATAATACTGAAGATGTATATTCTTAACAATCGCTCATAATAATAAAGTTGTCTATAGATTGGCTCTGAAGCAATCTGTAAGCATCAAAGCATTTGTTCTTCTATTAGCATCAATGGAATTGGCACTTGCTACTGTTTAGGATTAGGTCCTTATAACCATTATGTCAGTATTTTGCATCTTGAAAGAAAATACCTGTTAAATCACAATAATTAAATAAAAAAATAATACATTAAGCAAAAATTGCTTTCTCAGCTAAATTTCAAATTATGAATGTAAAGGAAATTAATAATTGGGGGTAAAAGCGACACAATTAATCATCAAACAAGGTGAATAAATTATATAATTCACAGAAAAAGAGATTATAGGAAATTAAAAGAATTGCATCATTGCATCCTGTCCTGTGAGGTGCACAGTAGCATCCCTGCAAAGGCTTTCCAAAAGAAGTTGGGGACACTCACAAGCACCTTGCAGGGTCAGGCTCTGAGAAAAGAAAAAAAAAAAAAAGAAAAAGAAAGACAGTGAAATTAATTATCTCAAAAACAGGTAGAACAGAAATAGTAGAATGATGCCTAGGTGAGTCTGGCAATAGACTACAAGCAGATTGTATCAATCTATTTCAGCTCATGACTTCAATATTGCTGTGCATTGTGACGGGTTCATATCTGAATATCATTTTATCAAGTATGGTTAAAACAAGCAAACATGTCTAGGTAAATTATTCTTTGTCACAATTCCATTCAGAAACAAATGTTTGCAATTCTTTCTCTTCCTCAGTGTATCTTTTAAAAGTTTCAAAATGTAGTCCCAATGTGCAATATTATTCTAATCAATTAATAGATTTAATCTTCATGCCTGGCCTTCGAGACACACTGTTGATAGGGACTTTTATTTTATGCTTAAATCCTGTCTTTAAGTCTTTGATATTGAATATAAGTTAATGCATGTGCATAACACATTTGAGCAAAAAAATGAAAATCACTGCAACACAGTAGAATGTAACCAATAATTAATAATATTTAATTATTAAATTAATATTAAATAAAATAAAAAAAAATTTAAATCAATATTAATGTATTTTCCTAATTTCTCAAATCATTAAAGCCACTCTGTTAGAAAACCTAGAATAGGCATCCTTCATGAAATAATTTTTTTTAATCTGTCCTATAATCAAAGCCATCTGAATAATGCCTCTATTACTTCAGAAAATTTAATTTTCTTCACAATAATGTTTCAAACAGATTAAATTCAGAAAATCAAATGTTCCACTTTTATGTTCTTAATATTATGTTAAAACACCTCTTGTCTTAAAAGTCTGTACTTGACAAACAGATGTTTCGTTTGGTTCTCCAAAGCAATACTGTCATGCTTTTCAAATAAGTTTATTGGGTTCTAATTATTCATTGTGGCCTGAATTTTTCTATTACTTTGTAGTAAAACTAGATCAGAAGTTTACCGCCTCATTGAAAAGATAAGTATTTTTCACATCATTTTGTCATCAAACCAACACTCAGTGAAACTGAAGCAGATTTTTATATGCTTTTACTGAGAGATATTTGAAGATGAAATCAGAAAATATCTTGTTCTTGCAAGGACAATGTTTGCTAGACAAAGCAAACATATTTCAAGGATTCAAAATAAATATCAAACTGCAAATGTTATTTTTAGTGGCTGCAATTTTACTGAAAAATCTAAATCATAAATTGATAACTTTACCTTTTGTTCTGATATCTTATTATTTTTATGTTGTTGTGAAGAGCAGAAAAATAGTCCATATTTACAAAGAAAGGAAGAAACATCCTGACCCAAGAGTTGGCTTTAGAAAAAAGAAACACTGTATGCTGAGTACTAGACTCAGTCTAGGATCAAGTCACATCCAATAGTTTTAGAATTCTCTATTTTTTATTCTTCAGTCCACAACATAAGATATAAGATGTCTTTTTTTTTTTTTTTTTTTTTCTCCTCCCCCCAGACACTTAGGAGTGTTTAAAAATGCACAAGAAAACATAAGAGAAAAAAGTACTGAAAATGAAATTGGCCTATTATGGACAAATATCGTCCAACGTTATTTTAATGTCTGTCATTACATAGCCTGATGTAAGAAACTTACACTACAGATCCTTTAAATTTTTTTTTGCATGTACTACATATGCATAAAAGTTTTATGTTGTTTAACCCATTACAATAAATATTTGCAAACTACAGATTTACAGAATAAATCCAGGTTCTCTCAGGAGGTCATATAATCCAGCACCCTGCTCAGGGATGTCAGCCACTAATTCAGAACCGGAGATTGTCCAGTCAGGTCTCAAAAACCTCCAAAGATAATTTCACAACTTCTGTGAGCAACAGGTTCTTGTGTTTAATTACCCTAGTAATTATGTTTTTTCTTTATGTCATGCTGGAACTTCCCTTGTTTCAAAGTATAAAGCACTTTGGAAAGAGCCCACTCCATCTTTTTTTATCAGCTCCTCTTATTACACAGTGTCTACGAGGAAAATCACTCCTGGCTGATGATAAAAAAAGCCCAGCTCCTCCAGCCTCTCTTAACAAGTCTTGTGCTCCAGACCAAGCAGCTTGGTGACCCTTGCTCAAGTTTATTCAAGTATTGAGGAGCCCAGAATTGCTCATAGTATTTAAAGGTGGTTGAATAAATGCTATTATGGGAATAATCACTTTTCTTGATTAACTGACTACGCTCCTGCTAATGTAAATGCAGAACACTCTAGCTCAATCAAGAAGGCAAGCATAAAAGAAAAAGGAAACTTCATTACTCAAATGAGCGGACACAGTTTTGAAGACTGATCTTCGTAATAGTTGATAACAGATACTCTTCCCAATTACCCATCCCTATTAATGTTTATTCTAACATTTCGGACACAGTCTCTTTACTTATTCTCTAACACCTTAAGGGGTTTGAAATACTCAAAAAAAAAAAAGACTTTAAATGAGCTTTGCAAAATCTGTGCTTCACTTTTCCTCTTCGCTGTTACCCACTGAAAAGTTAGAATTACTCTTCCAAAACTATTGTTTGGTACAAGTAATGTTTAGAAGTCAGCAATCTCAGCAGTCCAAAGGAAAGGGAAGAGTTGTGTCAAACATGATTCTACTTTATGGACATTCCATTATATTAGAAATTAAAATTAGTTTGCCTAGTGAGCAGACAGAAGACCTACTTCAGAACTGCATCAGTTCATTTGCAAACTATTTGAGACAGACTATAATTTATTTAAGCTCTGTGTTCATATAATGTTTTGAATAATGGAGCCTTGATCTTACAGGCCTCTAAAGTAAAAATAATAGTGAATAGTTTAAAAAAAAAGAAAAAAAAGAACTTTTTTTTAAAAAGCCTGCTCAGATAATTATCTAATCAGATACTGAATTTTTCAGTGTAGCCTCTGAGTGTATGGGAAGAACAGAGATGATCATAAACACTGTTCTACTGAGAAGGAATACCATATTACATTTGGCATAGCTACATAGAGCCATGAATGAACAGTGTAAATGAAGACTGACTGTACTTCATACTGTGCTATCTGGTTTTGGAACCTCTCAGTGTTCTTTATGTGTAATGCACACAAAGGAAACCAGCTTTAGAATTCTATATCCTATGGAAGATGGTATAGTTCAGCTATATATGCTACAGACACAGATAGCACACACATACAGTGTTGTGATGGGTTTGTCCTTGGCTGGGGGAAATCCCACACAGACGTTCACTCCATCCCGCTGCCTCACCACCCTGAGGATGGGGAAGAAAATTAAAGGGGTAAAAGGAAAAAAGGAGTCGTGGGGTGAGATAAGGACAATTTAATAACTAAACTACAATAATGTTGAAAATAATAGTATATAAAAATATATCAATGGGTGATACACAGTGATAATGCCCCCCCACATGATGACCAAGGCTCAGCCCACTCCCGGCTAATGATCCCGGAGCAGGTAGAGTCCCTAAACCGCACTCACAGAACAGAGATAACAGTCTGAGTGTCCCAGACAGAGAGCTGACCGGGGCAGGGGGGAGGCCTTGAGAGAGGGACCACCTGGAGCGAGATGACCCGGAGCAAAGGAGATCTAAAAAAAAAAGGGTCAAGCTTCTGGAGGGTCCTCACCTATATACTGAGCATGATGTGTGTGTTATGTAACAGATTATTGGCCACTCTGGGTCTCAGTCCTGAACCCAAGATCAAATCCTGGGCTAGTAACTGGGGCTGTGCTCCCTCACAGCTTCTCCTGTTGTCCGGACAACCAGAGAAGCTGAAAGACCTTGACAGCCACATAAACATCACTTTTTATCAGCTTTCTTCTGAGCACAAATCCAAAATACAGCCTCTTACTAGCTATTATGAAGAAAGTTAACTCTGCCTCTGCTTGACCCAGGACAAGTGTGCATACTACTCTAGCATTATTTCAAACCTGACAAAATTAACCCAGATACTTTTCCTTCATCCCTTCACTTTTCTTTGGGTAAGGACTATGAAGAAATGTAAAAGAAAGATGATTACCCACTTACGTACACACAGACATCTCTCTTGCATTATCAGACCAAAAAGTGAACAAACAGCTTTCACTGCAAAACCCTGAGCACAAAAATTTCACAAGCTGTAAGGCTTCATTTAATGAGCACAATTTGAGAAATGAAAATAATTTTACTCCATCTTCTTCATGAACTGCTGAGCATACTGATTCAATACTGGATATTGTTGAACACAACAAAGTATCAAGGCATTCATGTGAGATACTCATAGCTCTATCAAATTACACATTCTCCCATTCACCAGAGCAAAGAGGAATGGTTCTTCTAGATGTGTATTTTCAGGGCTTCTGTAAA